ACAAAAATGTACAACCCAAAATTTCACAATGTTAGAAACCATTAAAACATCAATAAAAATGTACAACCCAAAAAAAAAAAAAAAATGTGTGCTACTTACTGTGTTCAAGAATTACACTTTCTCAGTTGTATGAAGTACTATCCCCCACTTAGGAATTTTGAAAAAAGTCAAGAACGTAACACAAATAATGTGAACGCTAATTTGTGCCACGGTAACACAATTAGAAAGATCCAATCAAATTCAACTATTTAGGATTCTTATTTACAATACATCTTTAATTTCACACAAGCCTATATAATAATAGAATTTCCTATATGTATATTATATATTATAACTAGAAAGTTTTAAAGAATTAAAAATAGTAACAACAGAGTTATACTTGCCTGGTCCAGCAATAGCCGCTAACATATCCAAAAGCAAGTGTACCTGTCTTGGCGACAGGAAAAGATGAATAGAGTCTATCTGTCCATCAATATCCAACTTCAAAAAAAAAAAAAAAAAACTATTCAGGATGAACACTCTTTATAACTTCACCACCTGAAATCCCAGTATATATATATTTTTTTTTGTGAGGAAGATCAGCCCTGAGCTAACATCCATGCCAATCCTCCTCCTTTTTTTGCTGAGGAAGACTGGCCCTGCGCTAACATCTCTGCCTATCTTCCTCCACTTTATATGGGACACCATCACAGCATGCCCTGACAAGCGGTGCCTCAGCGTGCACCCGGGATCCGAACCCCGGGCCGCCAGCAGCAGAGCGTGTGTGCTTAACCGCTACGCCATGGGGCCGGCCCCTGAAATCCCAGTATATTTTAATGCACTGAGATGAATACTGATTATTTAGTGTTAGATTCCTTCACCTAAGATTCTCTCAACTAATTAACGCAATCGAAATGAAAAGAATTAAAGGCCACCAAACTGTTATTCTAAGAGACAAAATCCTTCTGAGAAATTCCCTGTTGGCAAGTCCAACGTCACTTTTTGTCTCTAAGTTCTCTGAGTATTTAAAGTATTTGAGGAGTCTTAAGACATAGTCTCTAAGAAAGAATATTAAAGTAGCAGTGGTACAATATTCACTCCCACTATGATTTCAAAAAGACTCAAATCATAATCCTTAAAGATTCATTCAAACCAAGAGCAAATAACGTTGGCTTTCATAAGTTTGCCCAGGGATCACACTCCTCAGCAGAGCACACGAAGACCTTCTCTACCAAGGGTGCCTCTCTGAACGCCCACTGTGTTCCCCAAAGCCCACTCTCTGCTGGGCACAGGAGTGTAAGCCACAGCAGAAACACCAATGGAAGCGGGGCTCAGGTGGACTTCCTTTCCCTCTTCCAACTCTTTGTCCATTTTTCCTTCTAAAAATAAAAGCCCCATTCCACTCATCCTGATTCCTGTGGAGTATACTCTGACGAAAGCAATTACTCTCTTCTTCACATCACATTCTCACAGGCTGAATATGCCTGTCTTACTTTTCATTCACTTCCTCTCAGTTCTGATGTGAACACTGACTCCTGGTATCTTTACGCCATTTTGCAATTTAAAAATAATTCAATTAATAAAACACATTTCTGTTTGGAAAATGGCATCTTCCCCAGGAGAAAAACAAATTTCTTCTGATTCTAAAAACAAAAATAAAATAATTTACATAGTGACTTTGAGAAATTTCTATTATCTAATAATATAATATATTCTCCAATAATATTATCACCCTTTGTTGAGTACTGGGGCACCATGCTTTTATTGTATGTTCTTTAGTTCTTAGTACTGTTACTGTTTTACAGATGAGGAAACGGCTTCATGAAGATTAAGTGATATGCACAAGGCCATCTAACAGATTCAGAGCCAGGATTTTAACGTAGGCTAACCCAGATGGAAAGCCCTCTCCTTCCATGGCATGGCTGCCCATTCTGCCCTTAGAAGACTTGTTTTATGGGACTCCTTACTGACCACTGACATTCCAGGCCATGAATCAGCAAGGAGTTAAGGCTGGGGACAGTGGGAAAATCTCTTTTTGATCATAAGCCAAATTTTAAAATAGTTTTTTTAATTTCTTAGTATTGAAAGCATAATTCTGACCTTTGTTAGAATGAATGATCAAGTTTCATTTGTAATTTTCACAGAAATATTTCATTATTAGTACATTCTGCATTTGGCATACAAAGTACACATTACTTTCCTCTGGAAATAAAGATAGAACATAACTAAAATAACAAATTTCAAACTCAATGTAACATGGTAATTGAAACAAAATGTCTGTAAATTCAATACAGGTGGTCCCATTTTCATATGCAATGCATTCCTGAAAACATATGCTAAAATTGAATACGTGAAACACCAGACTTACATACTATTTGAGGTGGATACTAGCCTCAGAGAACTAAAAACAAAAGACATGCAATCTTTCATAACATTTTGAACCCACAGTTGAAAGACTTCAGTCTAATAAACATTGCAAAGAGACTCAAGATCTGACACTTTGAGCACCCCTAATTAATGCCATCTTTGTCTACACTGTATTAAGTTTATGAGATCTATGTTTCTCAGTGCTAACATCTAGAACTTTTATTTTTCATATAGCACTCATTTTCATAAATAAGAACAAAATGTACTCAAACACTCTAGTTATTACACAAAAATTATCATATAGGCAAGGATAGTAATATCTCCAAATATTAAACACTGGCTGGCAGACAATGCCACCATGCTTTAGTTCCAGACATTCATTTGTCACTTGATATAGAGATGTCCAAAAGTAATATCTGAAAGGTATTTATACAAATCAATGCATAATGTGCAAAAGTTTTGGTTTGCACAAAGATCAAATATACAAATGTTGAGGACTATCTATAATTAATCAAAACAGAACTATAAAAGTTATTGCTATAGTTCTTTCTTCTTAGAGAAATAGCAAATGCATTCCCCAGAGGCCTAAGTGCATTGCTTTCCCAAGGATGTTACCACAGCAGGGGATTCCCTGTAGTGTTTACACATACCTATGGCTTTGTGCTCCATTAATAATCCCATCACGTTATTTTAGGAAGAGGCTTAAGACCTGGTGAAAGGATTTCGTACCATCTGAGGTAGGACAGAGCAGTAAACAAAGAGGAGGGGGATGATCAGTAACAGGAATGTCGTCATTCTAATCACCACCTTCCTCCTCCTCCAACTCTAGTCAGGTGTTCCAGTCCAAGGAAGGATTCCTACGGATTCTTCAATCCTCTGAAAACCTTTTTATGTACATTCACGAGTACTCAGTGGCTCCCTTTTCCATGTTCCCACAGCAATTTCTATACCCCCTATGATATCTTTTATTAAGGCAAAGACTGTTTTCACTCATCTCTACATCTGTCCCAAGAACATGCACAGGGCCTGGCATACAGTAGTCACTCAAGCATCTACAGCTAGGTAGATCAGTAAACAAATAAATGAATAAATCCTGATATCTTCTTAATATAAACTATGTTTTACAGAGATTATAAAGAAAATTAGTTTTCAAAGTCTGAAAATAACACTTGACAAATACATATTTAACTGACTAAATAAATGCAAGTTCCTTGATTCTCCAACTGACTGCTCAATATTGTTCCCTAAGAAACAAGTACAGATGTCTTTACAGTGTCTTCAAAAAGCTATGAGACACCATGAAAGAAATCAATCTCTTTTCATAAATATTATACAGCCATAAAAACAGTCATTCCTTTCAAAATTCACATAGGTGGACATTTTTACACACATGGAATTCAACATCTCCTACAGTCAACTTCTTGCTTTCCAAATCTCTTCTCCTTTAAACTTAATTTTATGATGATAGAAAGATTCTTTACTAAATTCCTAGTTATGTGAACTACTGAATGTTCTGAACTACTGGAATGAGGAAAAGCAAGTGTAAGAGGCAGCTCTAAAACCAGAGCTGCAGCAGAAGGGCAAAGGCAGTCCTCCTGTGGATTCTGTGACCTAAGGACAGAGGCACCAGCTGAGAGCAAAACGCTGACTCCGGATAGCCTAGTTACAGGACAATCTATAGTAACCGACCAGCGAGTCACTGCATGAATTAAAGAATACTTGTAGTTTGTTTTTTACTAGAGAAAATAAAACAATACTGACCTTAGCTCCAGGAAGTACTTCATTCTGTTTCAACGTGAGACTCAACTCCAACCTACCAATTAGCCCTCCAATCTGCACTGGGTCAGAGGGTGCTACCTCTGGCAAATTTCTTGTTAGCTGTGGGTGTGGCTCATAAACAATTTTGGGATTCCAGCTAGGTGACAGCTTTGGCTCAGTTTCCTATAATAATGCCATAAAAATAAAGTAATTCTTTAAAATATTTTAGCGTAAATAAATTGAAATGCAAAGTACAAATGTCAACTTAAGAATGAAATATTTAACATGCAAAACTGTATCATGTGACAATGGATAAACCAGTATCTTATAGCTAGCGTGACACACAGCAGTATGTTAGCAAAGTACATTGGTAATAAAGGCAAACGGTGGAAAAGAAATTTATGAAAAAAGCACAGTATCTGTTCAAATTATAGCAATGAGAAAACTTAACAGACATTCTATAATTAAGAAAACTTGATTTATGAAATAACATAAAAAACAAATTATGGAATAACTGATTTATAAAAGGATTCTCTACTCTTAGAAGAGTTTGACAGAGTTCCTCAGCTTTTTTAAGATAAGATTTGTAAGATAAATTTTCAGCAATACATTCACTATGAAAGGTAAATGTGAATATTGCTTGATTTTACTGTTTTTATCATAAAAGGATATTAGATGTTAATATACCATTTCCCCCAAGACACAGTATCTAATGTTTCTCTAACAAATTAAGATACAGCACTGGTAGGAAAGGCATTAATTATAAATATGAGTGTTTTAAAATCTCAGAATATATATTCCCATTACTGAATATTTATGTTAACTTTCAGATCAGATGAAAACTCATTAACACATATTATATATCCTAGCAAAAGTGAATAGCTCTCATTTAAATCTTTTAAAAATCTGTGATTTAGTTTTTGGTTTTTGTTTTGTTTTTCTTACCACTGGTGCAGCTGAACACACTGGGGAAGATTTTGCTGATGCAGAAAACTCATCCCAGAAGAGAGAGACTCCAGAGAGCTGAAGTAACTTGTGAGCAAAAGCTGTGGGTTGATGTACATTAATTCCTGAGGACTCGTCAGCAGTTTCATCACAGTATATGGTTCTGAAAGTTAAAAACAAAAAGAGTATTTGCATAAAATTTCTAGTAAAACCTACTTGCAATTATAAGAAATGCACAGAGCTTTTAATTTAAAGGGATTTTTCAAGTATTAACATTCCTTAGACTATGCCTATAATGTGGGTTAGCATTACCACACTTTACCACAGTAACTATTTTCATGAAGAGACCTTGACCCCAAAAAGGATAACCTTAAGAGGCTCCTAAATTTGCAGGAAAAATTAATACCTTCCTAAAGTTAGCTTCAAGGAAAACAATTCCTGTACTCTCTCACAAATATCTCTTGGTAATAGTGAGACAGATTCGGCTCCAGGTCACAAGTCTGACGTGAATGACATTTCTTGAATTCTTATGACTATTCTATGAGTTCTTATGACTGACCATCAGCTTAAACAAAATACAGAATGTAGTTCTAAATGCATGAGGTTTTATATATTTTTTACCATACCATTTAAAGTAATGCAACCTAATTTCAAAGATCTGTTAACAATAACTGTTTCACTAATGGGTATGTTTTGTGAAAGATAGAAACCATAATGCACCTGCTTAAAATTTGGTCAATGCCCCCAACAGATTTATATACAAAGTGTCTTTGGTGCTCAGTGTACACACTTCATTCTGCTTATTTCTGTTGGCAGTTCAAACGTCATTAAGACACAGGTGAGGGGCCAGCCCAGTAGCAGAGTGGTTATGCACGCTCCGCTTCAGTGGCCCAGGTTCACCAGTTCAGATCCTGGGTGCAGACCTACACACCGCTCATCAAGCCATGCTGAGGCAGCGTCCCACATAGAGCAACTAGAAGGACGTACAACTATGACATACAACTATGTACTGGGGCTTTGAGGAGAAAAAGGAAAAAAGGAGGAAGACTGGCAACAGATGTTAGCTCAGGGCCAATCTTCCTCAAAAAAAAGAAAAAAAAAGACACAGGTGAACAATAACTATCTCAAATCAACACTCAGGAGTGTGTATGTCAATCGATCCCTGTTTTAGAGCTCCAAGTGGGCATACACAGAAAACTAAAAGTGATGTGTTTATATCTTTTTAAGTAAATCACTATTGTACATATTGGCCTTAAAATAATCTCACAGAATCCTCCAATAAAACAGTAGTTATAGCCTTTCTCACTAAAGCAGCCCTTAGATCACAGGAAAGCAAAAAAGCCTTTACATTAACGAGACATGCCTAAATAGTCCACTGCTCATATGAAAAAATTCCAACGGGAGTGCCTTAAATTCTGTAGCACTCAAATATTCATTATTTCAATTTGATATTAACTAAAAGAGAATTACTTGCTTTGAATTCAACATAGTACATATATATATTTATATCCAACTGGTACTTTTAAAGTTTTCAATAATAGGATTAGAACACAACTTGGAGAGCACAGCACTCTACTCTGAAATTATGCAATACATTAATTTAATATCAGCACCTCTAATCTCTAAAAGCATCATGAAATCTAATGAGTTAGATTTTATTATTTATAAAAGAAAAGAATAGGGTCATTTGTTTTCAGATACAAGACGTTTTACCTTTCTATCCGAATTTCAAGTGCAGTTCCAGTTTTGGAATTTTCTGGCACATGTTCAATTCTCAAGACAGTGTCTATAAAAGTGACTTTCACTCTTCTTAGCACTAGAGTAAACAGGTAACCGTCAACATGAGATCACATGTATACTAAATAAAAACTTCTAATGAAAGGAATAAATACTAAATTAGTTTAATAAGAACTTGTGAAATAAAAAAGTTGAATTTCTTTCCTTAAAAATCCGCAAATCTTGAGTTTGTAATAAATATTTGCCTTACTGAGCACTTACCACATGTTACATCTCAACAGACACCTGCAGCAATGACTAACACTATCTGTTGAATTCTAACCCCTTCATTATGTAAGTATAATAAAATAAACAAAGGGGAAACTAGGGTACAAAAGAATATGAAATTAAATTGTATACAATATTTAAAATAACCTCAATTCTAAAGTTCTGAAGTGAGACGAGTAATTCTTTTAAAAATCACTCTAATGGATTTTTCCTTATACAAGGCTTACTAAATAAAGGTACTAAATTGCTAAATAAAATCTAAAATTTTTTAAAATAATCAATAATGCCAAACCTGTTTCAATGGTTTCAGCAAACTTTTCAAGTCCTTCAAAAGGCTGCGATCCTTCTCCTTGTTCATCTGTTAGTTTCTGGCTAAGACATTCTTTTGCCAATTGCATACTGCTGGTCATGAAACTTGACCAATACATAGGCTCAGAACCAGTTGCTGCAGAAAATACAGATTAATCCTAAATAATTTCTCATAGTTACAACAAAGCCATTTCTTGAAATAACACATTTGAGATTTAAATATCATCTTATAATAACTGAGAAGAAAAATAAGAACAGATCACAGAAAAAAGTGCAGAGACATGTGCTCTCATTACATGATATATATCTGCCAAATACTAATTCATGTATTCATTCAACATTTAACGGGTATTTTACACACGCAAGTACTGTTCAAAATACTATAACTTTTTCTGTAAAGCGTCAGATAGTAAATATTTTAGGCTTTGTGGGCCATGTGTTCTCTGTCACCACTACTCAATTCTCTCACTCCAGTGCAAAAGCAGCCAGAGAGAATAAATAAATGAATGAGTATGGTAGTGTTCCAATAAAAATTTATTTACAAAAACAGGTGACAGACCAGATCTGGCTGGCAGGCCATAGTTAGCTGACTCTGATGTAGAGAACAGAAAAATAAAATAACTATTAATTCTGCCCTCAGAGAGCCTACAATATAGTGGAAGAAATGAGAGATGATTAAGAAGAATCAGTAGGCAACTACTGAGTGTCAACTGGAAACATTACGACAGCTAAGAGAAGAGGTTAATTCTTCTAGCTGAGGGAATTAACAGGAAATCAGTAGAGGTAGCAGGTGACCTAGGTTAGTATAAATGTAGATAGAACAGCATCCGTGGAGGAAGGAATACATGAACTGTGAAAAATCCTTTTCCAGATCTTCCCTCATGAGAGAATTCCACCACATTTCCTTACGTTATTCAAAACAAACTGACAGAGATTACTAAAATTATTGCCTTCCAAAATGGAATTTAAAAGCCCTTCTAAAGGAATATTTTTAAAGTAAAGGGAAAATATTTGACTTTCCATAAGGAAGTATTATTATATCTATTCATCACGGTTAAAAGATAAAATATTCTTGTTAATTAAATACCAGATTATTAAGGGGGATTTCCATGCACAGATTACCAATTTTCAAAATACATGTGCTATAACTCTAGTAAGCATAATTTAAACTTTGTTGTTTCAGACAGCACTTGGGATTATAATTCTTCAAGTACCTCTTTACAAACATCACTTGTCACTCAAAGAATTTAAATTCAGAACTTAAGATGATTTACCATAACTTTATTGGTTTATAAAATACACACACACACAAATACAAATACACACACATTCTCATACTTTTGCTGAACTATCTGAAGGTAAACCACAGACATCATAATACTCACTCCTAAATACTTCAGCATGTAACTCCTAAGAACAAGAACATTCTCCTGCAAAAGCTCAATACCATTAACACTCCCCAGAAACACTGACACAATAGTATCATCTTACATATATTCCATACCCAAATTTCCCCAGATGCCCCAATAACACCCTTCATAGCAAAAAAAAAAAAACAGGACTATATATTACAGTTAGTTATTCATATCTTTAGACTCCTTTAATGTGGAATGGTTCCTCCACCTTTCCTGTCTTTCATGACACTGGTATTTTAAGGGTACCAAGCAGTTAGTGTACAGAATTTCCCTTATTTTGGATTCGTCTGACTGCTTCCTTATGATGTGATTCAGATTAAGCACTTTTAGCAGGAACAGTACATAAGTGATATTGTGTCCTTCTCAGTCCAGCACATCAGGACACACATGATGTCAGTTTGACCCATTACTGATGAGGTTAAGTTCGATCACTAGATTAAGGTGGAGACTGTCAATTTTCTCCACTGTAAAAGACTTTTTTCCCTTCGTAAATAATATATAATCAGTGGGAGATATTTTGATACCGTCTAAATATCAAACTCCTCATTAATCTTTCACCAAATGTTGTTAGCATTCATTGATGATTCCCATCTATATCAACTGTACTATGGGGCCAAAAACACGGTGAAATTCTATCATTTTTTCTATGTTTATAAGTAGATATTCTACTGCAATGAAGACCTTCCCCTTCTCCCTGCCTCCTTTACATATTTATTTATTTGTATCAATATAGACTTAGGGGGTTTTTTCATTTAGTGTGTTATAATTCATCATTGTCATTCTTTTTTCCCAGATTTGGTCAATGGGAACCCCTTCCAGCCCATCCTATGTCCTTTTAACATTTCTCCATCAATCTTTGAGCACTTCTTTGCTGTCTAGCACAACACTTTGAATCTTAAAAACACAAGTCACTGTAGATAACTGGTAACAAATAAACCAAATCATCTATATACGTAAGTTCCTGTGGATAAACAGGAAGAGAGATAATTCTAAAGGTACAACCACATACACCGTACATAGACCCAAGTCTTAATATTTTATATACTGAAAATCTCACAAATACAATGCTAAGTAATAAATTAAATACTGAATTTAATGCAATTAGGTTATCTTTCCAATCTCTGAAGAATAAAAACAGAAACAAACAAAACAGAAACACATAACACACCTACCTAGGCGAGGTCTAGGTCGGAAGACCATTTCTAATCCTTTCACTTCCAGTGCACAATTATCCTGTAGCAAAGAGCCCCATGGAACTGACAGAGAAATTGACTGTATGAAGCCTTCAGTGACTTCTAACGGCGCATCTGCTGACTCCAGGATCTCATTGAGACACTAAAGAGAAAAACCAAGTACATTCTGAAATCACAAGAACAAGAACTTAAATTGTTAACTTATTCAAAGATGCTGAACATGCTCATACATGTGCCAGGCACTCAGGCTAAAGTAAGCAGAGACCAAGATCAAGATGATTCCCAGTCCTCACTAAGCTTACAAGATAGCTTACCACAAAAGACACACATAATTAAAGTGTGATGAGTTGCATGACAGAGGAAATACACTGTGCTATTTGAGCATGTAAGAGAAACTAATCTGGAGATTCAAGGCAGGCCACCAGAGGAAGTGTTATTTTAAGCTGAGACCAGAGAAGGACAAGGAGTTAGCTAGGCAAAGTGGTCCAGGTAGAGACAAGAGCACGAGGAAGGAGTCAAAAAAGGAGAGCTCAGAGAGTACAACCACACATATTGGAGATAGAAGAGTATTTGGGGGGGAAAAAAAAAAAAAAGCTGTTTTAGGCTTTAGTGTAATGTGCCAGGGTGATGAGCCAAAGATAAAGCTACATTAGATAAGGGAGTGGAATCCAAAGAGCCTTGTAATTCACGTTAAAGAGTCTGAAATTTCTCTCAAGGGCAATGTGAAGCCACTGAAAGATTTTAAGCAAGGGCACCATAATGAGACTGGAAGCGTTAGCAGGCCACTCCTGCTGTCCATAGAGCATGTGTCGGAGGAAAGCAAAAGAGAAGCTAGAGAAATTGGTTTGGCAAAGACAGTGACACTGAGGACAGAAGTGGATGGATTTTTGTAATATATTAGGAAGTAGAATTAATTGGTATCATGAAGGGTAAAGTCAATAAAGAATGACTCCCAGGTTGCTGGCTTGGGCAACTGCTCAGATAGTGGTGCCATTTCCTGAGATAGAGAAACCTGGAAAAGCAGGTTAGGAGGAAGATGAGCAGTTCAGTTCCAAAGAATACATTTGAGCAGACATCTAGGTGAAGACGTCTAGGAGGCAGCTAGATATTCTGTTCTAGAGCTCAGGAGAGCCCTGTGGGCTGGAGATGCAGAAGGGCATTATAAACACAGAGTAAATGAAGCCACGTGAGTGAGGAGAGACAGACAGCCTTTGGGAACTTTTGTGGAGTAAAATGATAAGAGGCCTCGGACAGAATCCTGATAAACACCAACATTTAAGAAGCAGGTTAAGAAAGAGTAACCTGCCAAGTAAACTATGAAAAAAGCAAACAGAGAGGTAGAAGGAAAATCAAGAAAGCCTGTCCCCAAAAATAGTGGAAAGACAATATGAAGAGAAGAGTGGTCAAGTGCAACAAAAGCTAACAAGAAGTCAAAGATTTGTAAATGTCCTCTAGATTTAGTGATATTTTAGGGTATTGGTGATCCTACTGGGGGCAATTTCAGTGGAGTGGTAAGGCAAATCAGACTACAACAGAAGGAAAACAGAATGGATGTAAATACAGTTAGCAGAATAATTAAACGTGTTTTTTGACAGAAAATATACTTTTTAAATTAAAATAAGTATCTATTAAATGCCAGTTTACATGGAAGGTACCTCCTGCACGCTTTTGCATAAGGGTAGTGTCGTAATTCTTTGTCTACAAACCTAAGGCTGAATATTGAGACTTGGACTGGCTCATGTTTTATCATTGGAGGTCTCTACTTTAAAAGACTTTCTTCACGCTAGCGTTTGTGTAACCCTACAGACTTTCAAAAGAGCACGTGGGCGCGAATGGTTTTAAGGTATAAACATCCAGATCCTCAATTTCCAAATATATTCTTTCCTAACACTTACCTTCCTGAGAAACGCACTCAGAGCAGTGGCATCACGCTGGGTCTCCTTTACCATATTCCCAGTGCAATCTCATTTCTCCCACATAGTCAAAAAGGCATATCTTTTTCCCTTCCTGAATCCTCCCCTAACCACTGCCTAGGGTATAAAGATCTCTAGGCAGGGCCAGAAATAAGTATTCTGGTCTTTCCCTATCTTATACATATTTTTGGCATGATACTCAAGGAAAATCAAAGAACTGATACTGCTATTGCAAAATTCCTTCAATTCTCATCTACTTATTTATGACATCAGTGTCTCTCACTTATAACTATTTTAAAAATTTAGAATGAAATTTATGCTGAGCCCTATCAAATTCTAGTTGGGAGTATATTCATCTATGGATACCCGAACTAATCAGAGAAAAGGGGGAAACAACCCACCCATATCATTAGGAAATATATTTCCAATAAAAGTTTTTATGTTCAATTATTCAAATGTACATTTATATTGTTTCGATCAACTGCACTTATAATTGTAATAACATAATCCAGAGGAAAAATTTTAACACTTAACGCCTAAAGATTATCTGAAGAAGCTACTGATAAGTTAAGATCAATATGGTAAACCCTAGAGCAACCATTAAGAAAACCACTAAAAAACAAAAAAAAAAATTGTGGATGAATCATTAAAGAAATTAATATGTTACATTAGAAAATATTCACTTGCGAAAGAAAGCTTAAAGGTAACAGGAAAATTTTAAATGTGATCAATTTCAATTTAGTTACATGTTCTTACTGTAGAGAAATGATAGCTTGATCAATAAAAGACAAGCATAAAATATATAAATTATGATAAAACCTTGCAGAGGAAGTAGGATGCATATATGAGTTCAATCGGAAAAAATACGTTAAATTTTCAACTAGTAATAAAGAGCTTGTTCAGCATTTTTTAAATGTATAATGGTGGGTATTTAGATCCTACTGAGTGAAAAAAATTATATTTTTATATCAATATTTACAACACAACAAAAATTATCCTCTACAACTATTTAAACTTACAATGAAAAGTTTTTACAGTCAATTTTAAAATGAACAAGGAATATGGTAGTTTTTCAAAATTCAAGAGAAAATTGAGCAAACATGACTGAAGAACACTCCTTTAAAACACAGCATGTGTTCAGGTCATAGGCTCAGTCACCTACTAGCTGGGTGGCTTTGGACAAGTTCTTAACTTCTGAGTCTCAATTTCCTCGTCCATAAAATAGGGATAGTACCTATCTCATAGGGTTATTGCGAGCATAAATGACATCATAACATGTAAAGCTACCAACATAGTTCCTGGTACCAAGTAAACACTTTATAAATGTTGACTGTTGTTCTTTATTTTCCACAATGCCTACCCAGTACAATGATGAGCACTATTAGGAATTCAAGGTGTGCTTGAACGTATGAAGAAAAGCAAACATTAATTTATATGTTTCTTTTTAATACACACCAGAAGACTAACCAGGAAAAGAATACATCCTTATTAATCTAAACCAAGGCATCAGAATTCAAATAGAGATAAAATAAAGCATAAAAATTTGCAAGAACTGATTTAGACCAATCAATATTTAATTAGCATTTACTATATACAGAACACCACATTATACTATTTTATACCTATATCATTGCATTAAATCCTCCAAGTAGCCCTCTGAATTAGGTATTTTTGCATCCATTTTACAGATATGGCAACTGAGGATCAGAAAAATTAAGTAACTTGCAAAAAGTCTTCAATTAATCACTGCAGAAACAGAACTATAAAAAAGAGAAAGGGGATCAGCCCAGTGGCGTAGTGGTTAAGTTCACACGCTCCGCTTCCAGAGCCCAGAGTTCACAGGTTCGAATCCGGGGTGCAGACCGACGCACTGCTCATCAAGCCATGCTGTGGAGGCGACCAGCATACAAAATAGAGGAAGATGGGCACAGATGCTAGCTCAGGGCCAATCTGCCTCAGCAAAAAGAGGAAGATTGGCAATAGATGTTAGCCCAGAGCCAGTCTTCCTCACCAAAGACAAAGAAAGAACTATATTGTCACAATGGAAGATTTTGCAGGAGGCTAAGCAAAATCATGTGCTAACAACATAATTCTCAAAAATGTAGTACTTGGGCTTGGGAGGTGGTCTTATAGAACAAGCTTTTAAAACTAAATGGAAAAATTCTCAATCCCTTTAGTACTACCGTTTTTCAAAATGCAGTCAAGGACCATATGCATCAGAATCTCCTAGGATGTTTCTTAAAAATGCAGATTTTCGGGTCTTTAGAACCAGAATCTATAGGAAAGGAGCCTAAGTCTGCATGTTAGCAAACTTCCCAGGGGAACCCAATGCTGCTAATGTTTGAGAAGCTCAAGTCTCTTGAATCTTCTGAAGTACTATGGTGCACAAAAAGAATACAGGAGTCACAAAGATTTAGATTTGAAATCTGGTTGCACTGCAAATACTAAGCCTGAGTAAGTTACTTAACCTCATGGTAAAATGGAAATGATTAACACTGAACTTAGAGCAAGAAAATGTATATAAAAGCCCCCAGTACAGTACTTAGAGATGGAAGGTGCTTAATAAATGGTCACATCAAAAGCAAACTAAAATCCCCTACCTTGACTCCATGTCCCCTCTAATCATCAACTGCATTTCTCTTTCTTTATAGTCTAGGTAGCTATCTGCTCAAACCACAAACTACTATCTGCCTTCTAACCCTTAGCTCCTCTGAAACTACTCTTAACCGCCAATAAACTGACAAATGCAACAAACACTGTTCAGTCCTCATCTTCCTTAAATTCTCATCTCTATCTAATTCCTATGGCCACTTCTCTTTTTGGAGTTCTAACTTTCCTTGGCTTCCATAACACTCTTTATGCTTTCAGTCTTTTTTCCAATCTTTTACCACTTAAAATGTTGGCATTCACCGAAGTTTCATCTTCAGCCTTTTTTGTTTCTCAACCTAATCTACATACTGCCCATGCACTTTGTGCCGTTCCAGTGTTTCAGTTACTACTGATACTCTGATAACCCAAATCTTTATCTCCAGCTCTTCCTCAACGCCAACACTATAGCTCCCACTGCCTTCTGAGCATCTCTATCTGGATGTTCCAAAGCCCCCTCAAAATCATATTAAAACTTATTCTCACCCCAGTCTCAATCTCCTCCTTTCCTAGTACCCCCACCACGTGGGGGGTGGAGGGCAAGGGACAACCTTCTCCTTCTCTACTAGTATTTGCTATTTCA